GGCTTATAAGGTGTAGTTTATTTATCACCGTCGTCCTTGCCTCCGCTCGTTTCTCTATCACTCCCCTTCAGGGACTTGGGACTCTGCCTCGGGGCCTTCCTTCCACTGCTCCTGACTAGCTTCTAGCTAACCGATTCAAGAAAGTATAGCAGATAATATCTTAACTGCAAAAGAAAAATCACCATTTGACATGCTTCCTCTTGCCTGATACCTTTGGTTCCCTTGCCTCGAAGAGCAGCGCCCTTTGTGGTTTTCCTTTTTCTCATTAGTGTCTTATCCACAGTCTTTGTTGATTCTTCTACTTCCATTGTTCAGGACCAGAGCGAGGTCCTGGCCTCTTCTCTTCCCTGTAAACGTTCCCTTTCTCAATGGTCTCATTTAGTTCCTTAGCTTTACACGCTAATAACCCCCGTATTTCTGGTTGCAGCCCAGAGCCCTCTCCCTAACGCAAAAGGTGTGTATTGAGTTACATACTAGGAATCTTTAGTTGTAAATCTAAGGAGCATCTGGGTCCCACCTGTCCAAAACGGAACTCTTAATCTACCCCAAATCTGCTTCTGCTCAAAGCCTTTCCCCATCTCACTTGATATCAAATCTCCTTTCTATGCCCTGGCCATAAAATCTGGAGTCATTCCCAACTGTCCTCTATCTCTCACATCCCATACCAATCTTCCAGAAACCTTATTAATTTCACCTTTAAAATATATCCAGAGTCTAAGCCCTTCTCACCACCCCCACTGCAGTCACCCTGCTCTGAGCCACCATCTTTACCTTCCTACGTTATCACAGCTCTGCAGTACCTGTCCCCTTCCTTCTGTCTTTGCCCTCCATAGTCTTTTGTCAATACAGAGATCACACTGAACACTTAAAACTAAAAATGGAAACCAGATCAAGCCCTTACTGTGCTCTAAACCCCACAGTCACTTCCCATTTCCCACAGAGGAAAAGCCAAACTCCTTACAATGACCTACAGGTTTTACATGATCTTACCTTGTTATCTTGCTGACACCAGTTCATTGACTTACCTCTAGCCTTCTTGCTGTTCCTGGAACATGAACTTTTGTTTTTCACTGGCTCTTCCTTTTACCTGGATTTTACCCGGATCTGCTTTCACTGTGATAGTCTCTTGCCTAAATGTCTTATCTCCTATTGTCTTCAAGGTTATGCTCAATATATCTGACCTTCACCATCTTATTTAGTAGAGCAGTCTACACCACCACCATCCCTCAAATCCATCACCCTTTGTTTCCTTTTTTCCTTCTTTATTATTTATTACCTTTTACACACTTACTTATTTTTTTGCTATACTGAATATAATGGAATGGAAACTCAACGAGGTCTGGGATCTTTCTCTTACTGTGTTCACTGACATAACCCACGTGACAAAAATTGGCAGGCTTCTAGGTCGGCCACTATTTCTTCAATGAATAATTGATTCTGAACTATAATGTACCACAGTGTAGATTAAGAATATCTACAGAAATGTTTTAAAATATATGTGGAATGTGTAGAATCAAAATTACAGTGGGAAGCTTTGTCATACCAGACTCCTTATTCCATAGATTCACTTGACTAAAGACTCATTAGGATATAACAGACTATAGTACAAATAATAGGGCAGATTCATGAGCTTTTTAAATTATGCATCTCAGAGAATACACCATTTCTTTTTCAAAAAATACAGAGCATAAAGTTAAATATATTGTCATTATTTTAGAAACCACTAAAACATTTTAAACAAAAACCTCAATGCCTGGAAAAAAGTAGATCACTCTTCTAAATAATTCTTGAACTGAAGAGAATTTCAAACAATAACTACAGAGTATTTATAATAAAGGATATTGACAGCATTACATAATCCTAAGTGTAGGATTGGGGCCACCTTCCTATCCAGAAAGAATATCATTGTCTTGAGTGCTCTTATTATTGGTAGATAAATTAAGTATCCAAGAGTTTTACTCACTTATTCAAGATTATACAATTCTTGTGGCTGGATTAGGACTTGAACCCATTTATTTTCTCATTTGCATGACCTATATGACATTTCTGTTTAGAAAAGATTTTTAGAAAAAAATAATAGCTCACCAACAGTCTCTCAGAGCCTCTATCTCATCTCTGAAGCAAACAAAACATAAAAAGTAAGACATGACTTGGGGCTGATATTAAAAATCATATAGTGTCCACATGTAATACCGAGAGACAATAGTTTACAGATTGAAACATTTTGTTGAAAATGTATCTATGGTAATAGCATAAACAATTAGGATAGGAACTCCTTTAGACCAGGAATTTTTTTTTTTAATTGAGGAAGGAAGACATTTTGGGAAAATTTGGATGCAAAATATTTCTTAGAATATACATTGAATAATTTTTAATTTGTATAGATCAATTTCTGTGTGCAACTTACTTTCAAATCATTCAGAAAAGAGGGTAATAAAAAGCAAAAGAGAGGTAAAGTTCATATGGAAAAGTTGTAATAAGTATTAGATCTAGGTAAGGAAAAATACTGGTGTTTATTGAACTTTTTTTTTTAAATGTGACACTTTCCCTCTATAAACTGCACTTTTATTTTATTTTTTTTTTAAGATTTTATTTATTTAGGAGAGAGAGCAAGAGAGGCAGCGCATGAGCAGAGGGAGGAGTGAGGGAGAGGGACAAGCAGACTCTGTGCTCAGCCCAGAGCCCAACCAGATTCCAGGACCCTGAGGTCATGCCCTGAGCGGAAATCAAAAGTCAGAGGCTTAAGCTACTGAGTTACCCAGGCGCCCCCAAAACTGCACTTTTAAAGTTGCAGTTAAACATGATGGTCACAAGGTGGCGATAGACTCACTTTTGAATTTATTTAGGGACACTCCTTCAGTGAAAGGAGCATCCAGAAAAGAATTCTTTTTAAACACAACATCTTCAACTGGAGAAATGTGTAAAAATCTCGGGAGGTAAGAATCACTGAGAAATTCACACTTAAAATTGAGTAGTTAATATTCACATGGGCATGCTGGAAAGTAGAAGGACACAGAAAAAGGAAGAAGCAAGGACTGATTGGGAGAAATCTAGTATTTAGTCCTGGCTCAATTAATGCTTAATTTGTGACCTTACCCAAGTCAACTATAAGTAGCTTTCACATGTAAAATGAAAAAAAAAATTAGACTCTGGGATCTTTCACTTTCTTCCCAGCTGTAAAAACAATCTTTTCCCTTTTTGGTTCAACTTGAATATGGTAAGTCTCTAATAATGAATTCTTTCTTCTTAGTCCTCAGAGACATTGACCCTGGAAGCAAATGCCTGATAAACTCAACTGACATTCTGTTGCTGTGACAAGTTTCCTATGGAGAAAGAAACATAGTTCCTCTTAAGATATATACAAATATGATTGGAGATGCCTTAAAATATTCCTGTGCACTGTATCTGTTTGTAGCACATGGATAGGTGTTTCTGAAAACATATATACAATTACTCCTCTTCTGCTCCTATGCATTGCCATCCCATATGTAAGCCAGGTGGAGAGAGTAAAGCAACAAGGCTATGAGGGATGAAGAGGCAGTGGGCAATAGGACATATGATAAAGATCTGGAAAGATTTAAATGATAAATTCTTTGATGCGAAAAGGAAATAGAGTTGGTTCTGAATAAATTATCCTGTGAATTTCATCTTTCCCATACTGCACCAATTCATCTTGTTCATGACCCTTGCTAACTTTCTGACATGCTGTACCCAGGAGGCTGGTGTCTTTTTACTGTTTTCTGGTAGCTTCCAAAGCAACCAGAGCTTCCCTCTTTTACCATATCCACTGTTATCAAAGTATTTGCAACTCTTTTCCACCTCAAAACCAAAGTCCATTCCATAGGAAAAACAAATTTTCAAACCGATTGACAAATTTTATTGATTAACAGTCCCTTTTATCTACCCCCCTTCTAATTTTGGGGGATAAAGTCATAGAATTGTTGAATCCTTCCATTGGAAAACGTCTTTGTGGACATTTAGTACCAATATCCCAATTAATAGAAGAAATTTCTGCACATACTGTGTGAAGTATGGTACAACCAGAAATCATTTTAAAGGGTTTTATGTAAATTGAGCAAAAAGAAATAGCACCAGTTCTGGTTCTCTGTCCCTCCATTGTACCCATGCCCTTTGTAATGGAACTTGGCACCTCTTCTAATTAAGATCAGAAGTCTACTACTCCTGCTCCCTGAATCTGGGCTAGTTTTTTGACTTGATTGGTCCTACAGATGTGGGGAGAGTGACAGAGTCCACTTGGAAACCTAAGCCCCTCTACCTCTTGGAACTCTCCCAGCTACCATCTGAATAATTTGAGTTAACCTGATGGAGAATAAGAAATGCCTGGACCTGCTAGCCAAGTGGGCAGTGAGCCAACTGCCCCACAGGTGACTAAGGTCCCCCTAGCCCAGTCAGCCTTCAGCTGGTTGGTCAGCAGCCCACAGATGCATGACTGAGCCCAGACAACATCAGCTGAACTAGTTTCAGTAGAAAGTTCCAGCTAACCCATGGTCTCATAAGCAAAACTAAATCATTGTTTCAATCCACTGAGTTTTGAGGTGATCTGTCATGTTGGAAAACTTAACTGACTCAGGTAACAAGTACAATTGTACTTGTACTTATCGTTTCTATTATAAATCAATTTTAGCATTATATAATTCCATTAATTAAATCCGAAAAATTTAATAATAATTTGCTGCCGACTTGTTTGCTCTGATTTGATTGGTTAGAAATGTTGGATATTATTTTGGTTTGTTTTAGCAATTCTTCCTTTGGGTTGCTTTTGTCTGTCTCTGTCTGATAACTGCAATGGATGTTAATTCAGGGAAGAATACTGATAAGCCAGAAGCAGCTCAATTATACGTTAAATAGTGTGAGAATTTTAAAATAAATACAATGAAAGACTCTAAAGACCGTATTTGTCTTAGCATAATAACAAAATTGAGAGAGAAGGGAATTGATAATATATTTAACACAAAGCATATGACCAAGACTGAAAATGCAATAAAATTTCACAGAAAACAGCATCTCCTGCAGCTGAAACAATCACAAATCACTTTATAGAAGGTAGTCTTAATTTGAGTCTTAAAAATATTCAAAGTTCCCAACAGGTACAGAGGAAAGAAGGGCATTCACTCAGAAAAACAGCACAAACAAAGGCATCTCATCCCATATATCAGCTCCTGAAACATCATTTTTTTTAAAGATTTTATTTATTTATTTATTTATTTATTAGAGAGAGAATGCACGCGTGCATACACACACAGTGGGGGGAGGGGCAGAGGGAGATGGAGAAGCAGGCTCCTCGATGAGCAAGGACCCCCCCCCCCCAAAGTGGGACTCCATCCCAGGACCCTGGGATCATGACCTGAGCGGAAGGCAGATGTTTAACTGACTGAGCCACCCAGGTGCCCCCGAAACATCGTTTTATTAACTACTTACAATTTCCTACAAAATAAACACTGACAGAGAATATTTATTCTTCTTTTTAAATCATCGTTCATTCAGTATTCACTGAGTACCTGCCATGTGCCTGACATCTTTCTAGGTTCTTGGGACACATCAGTGAAGAAACAGAGATCATTGTGATTGAGGAGCTTGCATTCTGGATCCACCCCTCCATTGCTGGTTAGGCAAAATCACTTCATGTACAAATGAATCATTAATTTAAATCATCCTATATTTGCATTAGCACCAGACAGGAAGTTGAAATAATATAGTAATAATTGAATACTGCCTTTCGTGCTTTCAGCCTGAAAATCATTACTAATAAATAAAAATATCTGAATAAAAACTTGGAGAAGAACACAAGCTCTCTGGAGAGCAATTTAAGTCAGAATTGGATTACATTTAGAGAGTATGCTTACTGAATGTCTTTGCTTGGGAATTTGTAGCCATGTAGCGCTTACCTATTTCCTAAAGTTATTGAATATTGAAAATTTCCCGTGAATCACAAATGATAAATCCAAAGCACACTCTAAGTATGCAGCGTTCAAATGTTTGTTTTGAAAGGGCCCCATTAGATTGTGTTGGGATAGATGGAGAGGTAGGTATGCAACTGACTTCATATACCTGGGAGATCAGATTTGGGTTCTAGCTCTATCAGTGGGTCACTTCCTAAATGTTGACAAGTCATTCTCTGCTGCTTGTATTTTTTAAAAAAGATTTTATTTATTTGACAGAGAGAGACACAGCAAGAGAGGGAACACAAGCAGGGGGAGTGGGAGAGGGAGAAGCAGGCTTCCCGTGGAGTAGGGAGCCCCATGTGGGGCTCGATCCCAGGACCCTGGGACCATGACCTGAGCTGAAGGCAGATGTTTAACCAACTGAGCCACCCAGGTGCCCCATGTGCTTCTTGTATTATTATTTGAAAAATGGTCTTTTAGAAAAGCTATTCTTGTACCTCAGCCACCCTGCTGAGGTTCAAGGCAACAGTCATAATCAATAGCTATGAATGTTGGTGAGGAGCACTTTGCTTGGAGATAACACCAGTCCCAAGCACCATCTCACTCCAACTGCATTAGAGACCCCAAGCAAGAATCATCTCGGGAAGCCCATTCAATCAACACATTTGATTGTACAATAATTTTTTGTGCAGGAAATACTTATGGAGAACCTACTATGTGCCAGAACGACGTATTGGTTAATAATACTACATAGATCCTTCCTCTCGTGGAGCTCATAATTTTTTTTTTTTAAAGATTTTGAGAGAGTTATTTATTTTGAGAGCGAGAGTTAGAGCATGCAAGAGTGGGGGCAGAGGGAGAGGGAGAGAGAATCCTCAAGTGGACTCCCTGCTGAGCACAGAACCCCATGCCGGGCTCGATCCCAGAACCCTGGGAATTATAACCTGAGCCGAGATCAAGAGTTGGCCTAACAAAATAAGAACAATAACAAAACAATAAACAGATAAACAAAATAATTACCCCACTTCCTATGTTATGAGAGAAATAAGGTTTTGCAATGGGACAACATGGATAAACCTCTTCTGATATTTATTGTTTGTGTCATTTCTCCGTTGACAAAATTCTCTTTTTAAAAATTTTTTAAATTTGAGTATAGTTGACACACAACATTAGTTTCAGGTGTTTTTCCCTTTGTTCTATTTTGCTTGGTTGGAACAGAACAAGCATAGCCAGGAAACCACAACCCAAACCAAGTACGTCCACAAGGTGGCAGAACGGAGTCCACAGCAAAAAAACGGAAGTACAAGGGCAGGTTACCTAAAAAGGAAAAGAATCTCGTGACTGGCTGCCTACACATCTGGGCATTGGAAACAATGACTTCTTAAAAAGCTAGGCTAATGCATCAAGAATATCTTATATTTAATTCTTTTCCACCATAAGGGTTTTTCCACGAGAACTGTTTTTTTAAAAACATTTTAAAATTTAAATTCAGTGAATTAACATATAATGTATTACTGGTTTCAGAAGTACAGGCCTGTGATTCATCAGTCTTATGTGATACCACGAGAACTACTTTTTATCACGCACTGCGCCTATCAAAGCCTGCTGTGGAATGAGCGGACAGGAAGTAAAACAGAAGCAAATGGATTTCAAATCCAAGCACATGGCATAGAAAATAAACAGAAGGAATCTCCCTGGTCCAGCCTCAAGGTCAGTCTACAGCAGCATGAATAGACTGTACTGTGCCATTACTCAGCTTAGCTCACTGATTTAAAACGAGTCAGGGACTTCCTTTCCTTCCTTTCATTGTTCTGTCTTGGTACTCGTGCAATGTCAGCCAGGAAAGCGGTGGAACCAGCCTGAGAAACACAAAAGCAACTTATTACAATATAGCAAAGAAGAATTGTAATTATATTTCAGAAAAGTAAAGAGAAATAAATTTACAAATTGTGAGAGAGAGAAGCTTGAGGAAACATTCAGAAAGGAATTAACATTTGATTTAAACCATCCACAACTTCTCCGGTTTTTCTAGTCAAAGCATAAAGATGTGTGAAAAGAGAACCTCACACTCATGGGACAACATGTATTAAACAATGAAATCATACAACGTCAGGAGGTGTTTGGAGATCGGTAAGGAGCCTGCACAAGGAGCGTATGGGCCACTTAGAGGAAATGTAGATGGCAGATCTTGAATGACGTAGCAAGGATTTCTTTTGACATGTTTTAGAGTTGCGGTTAGTTTGTCAATAAACAATGACTCAAATACTGTAGATCTAATATTTTTTAATCTGCGTAGAATATGGTTAGACATGCTTTCCTCAGGGAGCTGCGGAAACTTTATAGTTTGAGTCTCAAAGATGATCTCCAGTGTCCTATCCACTGGTAAATTTAATTGATCATCTAATACTGCAATAGCAAATCCTTGTGACAGAACTTAACTTCTTGGAGTCAGTTTCATTGTAAAACACTCTTACAGTTGTGTCCCTTAGGGCCACTTCATTTGGGATCTAACAAGTATAGGAGAAGGAACAGGTCCATGTTTGGAATGAATTCTGGATTAACTGGATGGATTTAGAGAGCTGAATCCTGATTCGCTTTAGAAGGTTGCATTGAACATTATTTCAAGGGGTGGACATGTACACTGTCAATTATGGAAACACTTTTTTTTCAGATTTCTGTTCTTTATAGGTCTCTTCCTCAAAAGTGCCAAACAGTTCAAAATCTCACTGTTATCATATACTGTTCATAATGATGTTCTTGTCTAGAATGTCTCCCTAAGTAATTTATTTCCTAACACAAAAGAATTATACTTTGGGTTTTGACATAGTCAAAATTGTATATTAACAAGTATTATAAATCATCATGAAAACAGAAATTGAAATGTTATTTTGGTCACTATAGTATGTACTCGAATTTATATAATTCAAATTGGCATTGAATGATCAGAGTAAGTAGATATCTATTTTTCAGAAATTTTATTATAAGCCTCCAGTATTATTATTTATTTGATCTCCATAGAAGATGTGGCATGTTTTAAAAAAAGTGAACACTCATGATATTTATCTGAATAAACATTTCTCTTTTGTTGAAAAAACACTTATTTTCCATTAAATAATGGAAAACTTAATTACATATTTCCTACAGCTTGTATGTGAGCCATAGAAAGGAGACATAGAAGGAAAATAGAGAAGTAATGAGAAAAAATGGGAAGAACATTGGAATGGTGGGAAGGGTTTAGATCCCTTCCCAAGATCCTTTGGTTATGAGATTCTGATATCAGAGTCAAGAGAATGGACTTAGGTCAATGTTCTGTCACAATCCAGTTGTGTAATAATATGAAAAATCATAGACTATGAAATATTCACGGGACTTTAGAGATCTTTTACTAAAACTTTTCTAGAGGTGAGCTAAGGCATAGAGGGGATCAATGAAGGCCACACATATATGCCAGGACTGGAAACCATTCCTCTCAGCTGCTCTGGGCTTCTTTCCATAGAACATCTTAAAATGATACATATTTTCCCTATGTATTTGTTTCCTCATTCATTTAATGAGTAGATTAGACATGAACTTCTGTAAGATTCATAATAGTTTTAGAATTCTCAGTATTGGTTCACTTTGTGCTATTAAATATACATTAGGCCAGTTTAACTGTATATAATATAGTTAAAATTGCAGAGACCTATAATGGAAAGTAAAGAAATTGAGAGGAGATGTATAGTCAAGAGTCAGAACATACTTTATTTCTGACAGGTTTTAATTCTTTTTGGCAGATCCATCGATTTTCTGTGTCACAGTCCTCAGAAATAATTCTTGTTGGTGAGATGGAAACACAGCTCTTTTCTTGAGTATAACCAGTAATTTGTAATCTGTGGAGCAAAAGAAAAAACTCCCTTAGTGTTTGTGATTTTCTCACATAATTAATTCCCTTCATCTAGCCAGTGTCTCCTACAACTTTCAGGAAACAACGGGATGCTAAATTATTAAGTATAGCGTAAGTACACTGTCAAACATAAAATGGTATAAACACTTAAAAAAAGATTTTTATTTATTTACTTATTTATTTTTAAATTTTATTTTATTATGTTATGTTACTTAGTTTTATTTAGAGCACAACTAGGGGGAGGAGCAGAGGGAGAGGGAGAGCGAGACTCCCAAGTAAACTCTGCTAAGTGTGGAGCCAGATGTGGGACTCGACTCTGGGCTGGACACGGGGCTCGATCCCATGACCCTGAGATCTGAGCCACCTAGGCACCCTGGAATAGCTATATAAGTCTCTGGAACTCGCCAGTTCATCTTCACTGGAAAAGCATTCTCTAACAAGAAGCTTCGTAATAACATATGCAAAGAAGACAAGCTTTGGAAACTGGGATTCTCTTCTGATTCTTATTCTATCATTGACATATCATGTGAAAAGTTTCTTTACCAAACTTCAATTTTCTTAAATATACAGGATATAACCACTAATATTTGGGGGAGACATTGAGATGGCACATGTGAAAGTATGACAATGCTTAAATGGTGTATGTGCTCAGTAAACATTAAGTACACAGTGAGTGATGGGCATACAGGGTCTATAGACTTTGGACACAGCTAGGAAAAGAGGCTTCGTTTGTGTGCTATGTGGTCAGAAGTTTCCTTTTTTTTTCCTTTCCAAGCAGAGGTTGGTAGGTGTCTGCTTCAATATGCCATTAATTCCAACAAGTGTGAGGCTTGTGGCTCACTGCGGGTGAGGGTAGGAGTAGAATCAACAACAGAGTAAGGCAACATTAGGGCCAGGTGCCGGGATGGGGTGAGTTCAAGACTCATGTGTTTCAAACCAAGTGGAGTGGTGGTGGTGGACAGGGTTCTGTCACAGCTTTTCTTTGTTACTTCATTGCATTTCTTCATGCAGCCCCTTGGGCCTGAGCAGCCAATCTGATTCCTCCCTAGAGTCTGACACTCTTGTCAAATTATGAACTTCTCTCAACTAGGCTATTGCCGAAGCCTGCCATGTTTTGCCTCTTTACCCTTTTGATCCCTTCTTCAGCTTTCAAGATAACTTTTTTAATGCTCAGATGGCCAGGTCAATGATTGTCTTTCCAAAAGGCCCTCAATCTCAGCCTGGTTCTCTAAACTTATCTCATTTAATCCCTAAACAGTCCTGAGAGAAAAATTATTATCACCCTCTATTTTTCTCCTTACCAGCAAGCCAGGCTGACAGTTAAAATGAAAGCAGAATCTGATACCCTTTCTACTATAACCCGACACCTTCCAGGGTTATCTGATCACTGCCATCTTAATCAAGCATCATTTTTATCCCAGAGTGAAATGGAATATTCAGCTGAATTTAATCCATCCACTTTACTTATATTTCTGCTCACAGACACTTCAGTGTTTTCCAATTTTATTATGAACCTCAGTAAAATAAGTATACACACATACTAAATTGAATCAACCCAAATTAACCTTTATTATGCATGAAAAAATAAAAATAAGTCAATATCAAATTTTCATTTATATGTAGATAAAGTATAAAAAATAATACCCAGAAAGCATATAAAAAATGAGGATAGATTTGTGTGTGCGTGTCTGTGCTGTGTGTGTGTGATATATGTGTAGAGTATGTGTGGTGTATATGTGTGTTGTGTATGTGTAGTGAGTATGTTTTGTGCGATATGTGTGTGGTGTATGTGAGTATTGTTTTTGGTGTGTTCTGCTGTGTGTGTTTGTGTTTGTGATGTACATGTGGTGTGAGGATAGATTTTATTTAACAGAAGGAGTATGTTTGCCTTTTCATAACTTTATTCTACTCCAGAACACTTATTTATTTATTCATTTATTTATTTTAGATTTATTTATTTCAGAGAGAGTGAGAGAGAGCACACGGGGAGAGGCAGAAGGAGATAGAATCCCAAGCAGACTCCATGCTGAATGGGGAGCCCAACATGAGGCTCGATCCCCAGGACCCTGAGATCATGACCTGAGCTGAAACCTAGAGCCAGATGCTTAACCAACTGCGCTTCCCAGAACACTTATTTTAAAATAATCTTTCAAAGAATCACATTTTAAAAAACAGTTTAGAACATGGGTCAGACAATGTGAAAATTTGCTAATTAAGCCAGCTTTTTTTCAATGTTTAATACTTTTCCATAACAATTATCACTATGGCTTAGATAAACTTGAACAAGCTCCTGTGTTTTAAATTTCATGTTTTTTCCTCATGTTTTTTGAAGGATAAAAAAAATTTTAACTGTAATTTATACAGATTTGATTGAATCATTCACAGACTAAAAAAAATGCAACATAATATCATCTCTTCTGAAAAATCTATCGAAAAGTTCTTTACAGAAACATTATTGAATTCCTACATACTTTTGCTCCTGAGGGAAAAAAAACTCTTCATTTGTTGTACAATTAACCATGAATTCTGTTAAAATATGTAATTTACCTGTGCAGCATCAACCCTCCTATTACACGGCTAGTTATCTTGACCACCTTACACAAGAAACTATAATGAAACACCCAAGAGAAAATAGCAATTAGATCCTTTGTGGCCTATGACATATTAATCCCATTCCCTGAAATAACTGTCTCCTTTACACCACTGGTTAAAATATACAGCTAACCCTCAAACCACATTTGTTTGAACTACACAGGTTCACTTCTATGCATTTTTTTCTTTTTCGATAAATACAGTGAAGTATTGTAAATGTATTTTCTGTTTTTATAATTTCTTAATGACATTTTCTTTTCTCTAGCTTATTGTGAGAATACAGTATAGAATACGTATAACATATAAAATATATGTTAATCAATAAGGCTTTTCATGTGTCTGGGTTCTGCATGCTGATATTTACTTTTTTTTTTTCCCCTTATATTTACTGTTCCAGTGCTGATGGTGACCCCCCCAAGGTATATTGTCCCACAATTTGAAAAACACTACTTAAAAACTTTTGCATGATGAAAACCTCCAGCTAGAGATTGCTTAATTTTATATGCCCCTCCCCAAAAAAGTTAGTCTGCTCCTTTCTCCTCTAAAACCCCCTTGCAGATAAAAATATATATTGCTATAATGGGCTGATGTCTTTTCACATACGGAACTTTTCAACCAACCAACTTCAACATCATTCATCTTAGTCTATTCCGAACCTCTTGAAAATTTCTAAACTAAATTAAAACCACAAACCTCAATCTTCCATAACAGTGTTACTATCCTGAAATATTAACCTGATTTGGGAATGAATATTCAAATTAGCTGATCTAATACTCACACATTTGAATTTAAAAATGAACCATTTATCCATTTCCATTTCTTCTCTGATAATGTTAAATTTAGTCCAATCCAAAATAGCATTCCCTTTTCATTTATCCGCATTCGTATGAGTTTCTATCAATAAAACGAAAGAAATGACTGAATATTGAATCTGCATTATCTATTCATGGTTTGCATTTTTCTGCTCATTCTCTAAAACAGAGTTCAAGTCTCACCTAGTCTATGATGCCTTTCCTAACTCCTCATCAGAGTTAATTATTCCTTCTTTGTGATATTATTGTCCCTATATTTATATCCATATTGCTGCATGCATCAAAGTCTCTTCAATTATTTGCCTACACCTGTGTGTAGTCTCTCAGACTGTGAGCTTCTTGAAGTGAAATTTGCTACTTCTATCTGCATAGAACCTTTGGGCTAAAGCCCAAAGATCTTGGTATGGTTAGAAAAAAGTGCTAAGTTTTATTATTAAGATATCTTATTTCATTATTTACCAATTCTTCCTGATCTCGAATAAGCAGCAAACTGGATTCTTTTGTGGAACAGTCAGTCAGACTATCTTTCCAAGTGTTGGAAGCACGAGAAAGAAACAAGCATTTTTCTGGGAGTATATGCCAATCTTCTGGGCACTTTAACAGATCTAGTTTCTCTGAAGTAAACAGAAAGAAGAAATAAATAAGTGTTATATTTCTATTCTGTCTCCACCCACCACAACTAATCACACATGCACAGGTCATTATAAATGCACAGAAGTCTCTGATTATCACTGTGAGAACAACAAATGAATTTATTATAGTTTTGAGGTTTTTGAGACTTACTGTTCATTCTGGTATCAAGAATTGGAAATTCATGACCAGTTATAGCGAGCATAAATGGAATCATAGAATATTAGAATAGGGAAAGACCATCAACATCATTTAAGCAGCCACATCCTACTTTTTAAGGCACTGACAGAATAATTTAAGTCCACACAATCAGATGGTGGTAGAGTCAAAACTATTCCTGAGTTTCCTTAAACCCATCACTAGTGCTGACTCCACTATACGTCCAATATGTAGTTATCTAAAAAATGTTTACTTTAAACAACATGTAAACTGCAAGGCAGATAATAATTGATTTCACTAAATTAATGACAAATTCTATGGAAAATTTCTAATTGTCAAATTATCTTTGCTAACTTAAGGCAATCTATTAGATAACATTTTCTGGAAGGATTTTCCAGGTTTCCTAAAATTTCTGTTCTGTAAGAATGTGCACAATCCATGAACACATTCTGCTACAGTCATTCAACAATAGTGTCTTTATTAACTCACACTACCTACTGGAACAAGATTGATGTCTTAAGATTAATGGACAAAAGTTAACTCTTTGACATACTCATAAGATCATCAAATATTTTGCGTAAGTGCATAGTTAACTTTTTAACATGGTATTTGGCTATTAATTATTGAATATTCTAACAGCAACTTCCCATGAGGCAACATGAACTGGTGATTAAGATCATAGACTTAATCTATGATGCAATTTCTGGCCACAGGTGTAATTTCCGTTGTCACCTCTTACTAGGTGTATGACCCTAAGTGAGTTGTTTTCCCTTTCCATTCCTTAGTTTTGTCAAACATAAAATCAGAAAGATAATGCCATCTTAACTTATGGGTTGTTAGGAGCTTTTACTACTGTAACATATAGTATCTGTCAAATATGGGCTATTATTTTTAGAAAGTTCAAGCTACCAAATTACCTGTTGTTTCATTCCTGTTCTCTTGAACATCCACTCGGCTTTCTTCTATTAATGAGTTTCGTCTTAAGAAAGTCACTAGCAAGTAAGGAGAAACCATTAAGAAGATTAAATGCTGAATGTGGTGAAATGGATGTGTTATATTGATCACTTCAGGAGACTATATTATCTCAACAAGGCTGAATGTGGACAGAAGATAAAGCGATAGTAATGTAGCAAAGAGCCTAGTTAGAACACAGCATACATACACAAACAAGAAAACACATGGAACGGTGAAATCACACAGACACTGACTTACCTGTTGTCTACTCTTAAGTTGTTTATACTCCTGACCAAGCTTTTTCATCTTCAAAATAAATATAATTATGTTTACCCCATGGGAGAGGTTGCCTAGTGCAATCTGGAATTTAGTAGGCACTTAAAAAACTGTAAATAAGGGAAAATTTTATTTTTCTTTGTCACTGTCATGTTTTTATTATAACTGTGATCATTTTTAGGTTCTGGGAGCACATCTGAAATACCACATGAAGACGATCGAACAATTAGGAAGAGAAATGTGAAAGGCTGAAGTTTGCAGAGTAGATTTGGGCCGAGCATTGTGAAAAGCATTGTTTTGTAATTGTTTTTATTTTATTGGTCTTTCACTAAGTTTGAGGTGGCCAAATGATGTTGATACTCTAATATTTGTGATAGAAATAATATAAGTATTCTGAAGCAAATAATCTTGAATTACTTACCTGAAACACTCAATCCAATCACAGTCAAAGTAAGAAGAATAATCGCAATACAACCAAGTTTCAGAGCAAATTGATGCCAAGGTGAACCTTGACAGACATCTGAGAAGTTAAGAAAATACACTCAGTTAACCCAGTTGAGTTCATCTGGTACAAAAAGCAAGGGTGTTTTGGATCACCTATAGACAGATTCAGGATGGGAGCTGGGGGCAGGAAAGAACAATCAGCCATATTAGGGACCCACGAGGTGGATTCTCAGCCAGATCCAGCTGAGAGTTTGCTCACTGATAAAACAGAAATATTTATGCTTGTCTTATGTACAAATGATTGGTATAATAATCAAATGGGATAGATATGAAAAGTTTTGAAAATTGCCAAGTGCTGTGTGAAAATCAAACAAATACCATATTATAGGGAGTAAGTGAAAGAATTTTGTCTAAAAAAAGATGGCCATTGTCCAGTCAAGGTATTTTAGAAAGAGCTCTATTGAGGCTCTATTTTGTGCTAAGCACCATTTTAGGTTTCGGTTATATACAACAATTCTATTCTTGGACGTGGATTCCTCTACTTTATTGTCATCTAAAACAATTATCTCCAACTTGAATCAGATGTATGGCATTCAAGAAAGAGTGTTTTGTGAAGCTGCATATTATTTTCAGTATTTCAATGAATGTAACATAGCATGAACTGATGTCTACAACATTGCATAGTCTAACAAAATATCAAATACATTTGTATTTCTCTGTAGTCATATCACTTACAATATAGCGTATATCTCATGTTCATCAGAAATTGTGATCGTATTAATTAATGAAATGGGAGGCTTAATTAATTAATGAAATGTATTTTGGTTCCAGACATCTTTATTTGTTTTATTTTTTAAAAGATTTTATTTATTTATTTGACAGAAAGAGAGAGAGCACAAGCAGGGGGAGCGGCAGGCAGAGGGAGAAGCAGGATCCCTCCCTGATGGGAGCTTGATCCCAGGATTAAGCAGATGCTTAACCGACTGAGCCACCTAGATGTCCTGGTTCTAGACATCTTTAAAAATTTGGATTTCATAGGGAAAACTAATGTGAGTAATTTTCTAATAAAAAAATTTGTCCCACAATTCTTTCAGGTCTTGACTCAAATGTCATCTTGCCGTCAGGTTCTGTAGATATTTCATTTGATACTGTCCCTCCCCCAAAGCTAAATTCTACTTCTATTTTTTATTTTTCTCAATTGCACTTAATATCATGTGATCTTTCTTACATATACTTAGTTCTTTGTTTATCTGTGTCTGTAGTAGTGTAATATAAACGTAATAAAGGAAAAGATTTTTTTTCTCTATTTTGTTGACTGCTGTCATCTCAGCACTGATGGCCTAGCACACAGAAGGTGCTTATTTTTGAATGAATGAATAACCTCTAGAGGCATTTTGCCAACACCTTACTTACTTTTCTAAGGGACCAAAACCCTGGACTGTAACAAAATAGGTCAACGCTCACATCTCTGCCTGGTTTTACTGACTCTTGGTTTTCTCACTCTTTTATGGTAACCACAGCCTGAAAAACTTAGCCAAAAGCTCAGGAGTGGTTTCACAATAATTGTAATATCAGGCAAAAAAAAGAAACATATAACACATTTTGTTGACTTTATTCTACTTTTTTTCAGTTTCGCTTTTAGGATGATATTTTGTAGGATAAAAATATAATCAGACTAGACAAATTTTCTGGACCCATTGATTTGGGGTCATAGAGAGTAGATTTTGAGGAAAATCTCCCTGCCTTTTTTTTTTCTTCCCTTTTTCTGACATCCCCTTTCAACACCATCTTCCTTTCTCTCCACTTTTGCTAGATCTGAATAGGGTCAGAGAAGTCTTACTCTTTCCCATAAAAAAATATCTGTGACTAGACCAAACCCCAATTGTAGTTACCAAAATCCTCCAATTCTCCTTAATCCCCATATGAAAAGTATAGTGAAACTTATTTGGTAACCCTAAACCTTTTTTCCCAATTTGGAACATTGATAATTTAATAGTTTCAAACCTATCCCAAGTCATTCTAAAAGAATATAGTCCACATGCTTAGCACAATATGAAACAAATATCAGGTTAGATAAAAATCCCAATATCACATTTGGTTAGATTTCAGAAAGTCATGATAATTTCATATGTATTTTCTGCCTAGTTCCTGGTCTTTTTTCACCCATGTCCAGGTCGTGGCATCCCTCACCTATTACTTCATATTACACTTCCCTATTTTTTTTGTTGTTGTTGTTCACTCACACGGAAAAGTGCTGATTCCAACAAGTGTCAAATAGGTTTGTTCGTTAATGATATTCTCCAGTGTCTCAAGGCTTATCTCCTAAACTGTGATACTTTTCAAGTATCAAGTTTCAAAGTTAGAAACCATCACAATGTAATTATATTGAAGTCTGCAGTCTTGAATATGATTTTCTTCCAGAAATTTTTTCCCCTTCTCTTCGGAGAGTGAAGGATGTTAATCATTAAGCTTATACTTTGCATTGTGAAAAAAATACTATAGAAGTGAATTCACTGGAACTTAATCTTAGTATTTTGTGAGGGGATTTGGAATAAGGTAGGTTACCATTACAGCAAGGTAGCAATGTGTCTCTAAAAAATATTGCTTTGTTCATATGTGTAAAATGTTTCTTCCTGGTTTTTAACCAAGGCTCAGTAATAGAAGTGATGTTCACTTTTCACACTAATATCTTTTTTTAAAAAAGATTTTATTTATTTATTTGACAGAGAGAGTGAGAGAGCACAAGCAGGGGGAGTGGGAGAAGCAGGCTCCCCACTGAGCAGGGAGCCCAAGGCGGGGCTTGATCCCTGGGCCTAACTGAGTGAGCCACCCAGGTGCCCCAGTAAATTTATAATCTGTGCATCCTTAAGCTGATGGTGGGAAAAACAGAAGGGGCTGCTGTTTTTAGAAACATATGAAAAATACATTGTTAAAATGTCTATGCTACCCAGAGCAATCTAACAGCAATCAGACAACAACAACAAAAAATAAAATGTATTCAAATTGGCAAAGAAGTCAAACTCTCTCTCTTCGCAGATGACATGATACTTTATGTGGAACATCCAAAAGGCTCCACCCCCAAATTCCTAGACTCATTCAGCAATTCAGTAATGTGGCAGGATACAAAATCAATGCACAGAAGTCAGTTGCTTTCTTATACACTAACAATGCAACTGTAGAAAGAGAAATTAGAGAAACAATTCCATTTACAATAGCACCAAAAACCTAAGACACCTGGGAATAAACCTAACCAAAGAGGTAAAAAGAATCTATACTCTAGGAACTACAGAACACTCATGAAAGAAATTGAAGAAGACACAAAAAGATGGAAAAACATTCCATGCTCATGGATCAGAAGAATAAACATTGTTAAAATGTCTATGCTACCCAGAGCAATCTATACCTTCAACGCCATCCTGATCAAAATTCCAATGACATTTTTCAAAGTGCTGGAACAAACAATCCTAAAATTTGTATGGAATCAGAAAAGACCTTGAATCGCCAAGGAAATGCTGAAAAAGAAAAACAAAGCTGGGGACATCACGTTGCCTGATTTCAAGCTATATTACAAAGCAGTGATCACCAAGACAGCACGGTACTGGCACAAAAACAGACATATAGACCAATGGAACAGAATAGGGAGCCCAGATATGGACCCTCAACTCTATGGTCAAATAATCTTTGACAAAGCAGGAAAAAACATGCAATGGAAAAAAGACAGTCTCTTCAATAAATGGTGCTGGGAAAATTGGACAGCTATATACAGAAGAATGAAACTCAACCATTCTCTAACACCATACACAAAGATAAACTCAAAATGGATGAAAGACCTCAATGTGAGACAGGAATCCATCCAAATCCTAGAGGAGAACATAGGCAGTAACCTCTTTGACATCAGCCACAGCAACTTCTTTCAAGATACATCTCCAAAGGCAAGTGAAACAAAAGCAAAAATGAACTTTTGGGACTTCATCAAGATAAAAAGCTTCTGCACTGCAAAGGAAACAGTCAACAAACAAAGAGGCAACCCACAGAATGGGAGAAGATATTTGCAAATGACACTACAGATAAAGGGCTGGTATCCAAGATCTATAAAGAACTTCTCAAACCCAACACCCAAAAAACAAATAATCAAGTCAAAAAATGGGCAGAAGACATGACATGAATAGACAGTTCTCCAAAGAAGACATACAAATGGCTAACAGACACATGAAAAAATGTTCATCATCATTAGCCATCAGGGAAATTCAAATCAAAACCACGCTGAGATACCACCTTACACCAGTTAGAATGCCCAAAACTGACAAGGCAAGAAACAACAAATGTTGGAGAGGTTGTGGAGAAAGGGGCACCCTCTTACACTGTTGGTGGGAATGCAAGTTGGTAGAGCCACTTTGGAAAACAGTGTGGAGGTGCCTCAGAAAATTAAAAATAGAGCTACCTTATGACCCAGCAATTGCACTCCTGGGTATTTACCCCAAAGACACAGATGTAGTGAAAAGAAGAGCCATATGTACCCCAATGTTCATTGCAGCAATGTCCACAATAGCCAAACTGTGCAAAGAGCCGAGATGCCCTTCAACAGATGAATGGATAAAGAAGATGTGGTCCATATATACAATGGAATATTACTCAGCCATCAGAAAGGATGAATACCCAACTTTTACACCAACATGGATGGGACTGGAGGAGATTATGCTGAGTGAAACAAGTCAAGCAGAGAAAGTCAATTATCATATGGTTTCACTTATTTGTGGTACGTGAAGGATAGCATGGAGGACATTAGGAGAAGGAAGGGAAAAATGAAGGGGGGGAATCGGAGGGAAAGATGAACCATGAGAGACTATGGACTCTGAGAAACAAACTGAGGGTTTTAGAGGGGAGGGGGTTGGGAGGGGTAGGTTAGTCCAGTAATGGGTATTAAGGAGGGCATGTACTGCATGGAGCACTGGGTGTTATAAGAAAACAATGAATCGTGGATCAGTACATCAGAAACTAATGATGTATTGTATGGTGACTAACATAACATAATAGAATAAAATTAAAAAAATTAAAAAGTAAGAATAAAAGGCAAAAAAAAGAAACATGAAAAATATAGGTTCATATATTATAAAAATATATCCAGCATTCTTTTTTTTAAAGATTTTATTTATTTATTTGAGAGAGAGAGCATGAGAGAGAGTGAGCACATGAGAGGGGGGAGGGTCAGAGGGAGAAGCAGACTCCCTGCTGAGCAGGGAGCTCGATGTGGGACTTGATCCAGGGACTCCAGGATCATGACCTGAGCCAAAGGCAGTTGCTTAACCAACTGAGCCACCCAGGCGCCCTATATCCAGCATTCTTGATGATAATATTCTAAATTTAAAAATTTCTAAGATATTTCTTTTTATTTTCTTTTGTGATTGTATTAATTAATGAAATAGGAGGCTTACTTAATTATTTAATTAATGAAATGTATTTTGGTTCTCCACATCTTTATTTGTTTTATTTTTTAAAAGATTTTATTTATTTATTTGACAGAGAGAGAGCACAAGCAGGGGGAGCAGCAGGATCCCTGATGTGGGGCTCGATCCCAGGACCTTGGGATCATGACCTGAGCCGAAGGCAGACACTTAACTGAGCCACCCAGGTGCCCCCACACTAATATCTTGATAAAAAACAAAATCGACAAGGGGCGTGCTTTTCTTGGCAGTTATTGTTACCTACAGACAAACTCTGCTGCACCACTGCAACAGTAATATAGAATTGCTGCTCATCCTCAGAGCAATGATTGAAAACCATAAATATGAGAGGAAATTCTAACTCTGGAAGATAAACAAATGCCAAGAGGAAAATTAAAGGTACTTACCTTGAGGAAATGATGGGGGTGATGAACTTGCAAAGCAAGAACCCCTGGATAAGTTTAAGTCAGCATATACCACTTGTCTATCCATTGTAAGCAGGGGAATATGGCACTTAACTTGTGTGTAAGGACAGACTCCAAGTTCTATGAGTCAAGATCAGCAAAAGGAAGTGCCCAGTCTGAAATGCTTTGTTGTTTCTCTTGTAACCCCTCCCACTGACACTTTTAGCTGTGGGTTTCCTCTGTAAATTAGGGAGACAATTCACTTATTGGGTGTCTAATATACTTGGATATGTAATATCTACTTTGCTTAATTAACTGGTCTGTTGTTTGACAAAATTTTGGGAAGATTTTGTCGTTGTGCTTCTAACCATCCCTTTTGAGTATCTTTCTCAGGGTCAGGACCGGCATGAGGCAAATGAGACACTCATCTAGGGTGAACATTTCAGGAACTCTCCAAAAAGACTCAGTAATCGAGAGAAATAATAGTTAATGCAATGTGGCAAAAAATAAACATTTATGCAAAAAAATGGCAGGATGCCTTTTAAAAGCTCTAAATTCTTCCTGAAATATTCGTGTTCCAAATAAAGCTGCTATAGAAGCACATGCTTACTCCTTAAAGATTACTAATAATTATGAAAAGTAAGCATGTGTGAGAATTGAATGACCCACAAAGAAAAGTATGACATTTAAAAAATTTTTTTATTAGATTTTATTTATCCATTTGGCAAAAAGAGAGAGAGTGCAAGCACAAGCAGGGGGGAGTGGCAGAGGGAGAGGGAAAAGCAGGCTCCCCTCTGAGCAGGGATCCTGAGGGGGGCGCTTAATCCTAGGACCCCAGGATCATGACCTGAGCTGAAGGCAGATGCCTAACCGAGTGAGTCACCCAGGTGCCCCACTACATTTATAATCTATGCATCCTTAAGCTGATGGTAGGAAAAACAGAAGAAGTTGCTGTTTTTAGAAACATATGAAAAATATATGTTCATATATTATAAAAATATATCCAGCATTGTTGATAATAATATTCTGAATTTAAAAATTTCTAAGATATTTCTTTTTATTTTCTTGTAAGAGTTTAATTTTTAGAGTGATGCACCAGTGTTTACCCGCCATTATTTAGAAGGTGGATGTTTCACCCTCCCCCAAAATTCTGAGTCTTGACTATGATATATTGGCTCACCAAAACTAACTTACGTTGATAGTACCATTGTATGCACTCTCCAGTGACTCAGTGACAATGTTAACTATCTGACTATTTGGTAACTAAGAGTCACTTTATTTGTGCTATTTTATTTGGTTTTGTCACATACTTCACCTAAATTTTTATTTTATTTTTTTTAAAGATTTTATTTATTTATTTTGAGAAAGAGAGATAGAGCACACACGTACAAGCAGGGAGAGGTGCAGAAGCAGAGGGAGAGAGAGAATTTCAAGCACACTCCATGCTGAGCATGGAGCCCAACACAGGGCTCAATCTCAAGACCTTGAGATCATGACCTGAGCTGAGACCAGGAGTCGAAGGCTTAACTGACTGAGCCACGCAAGAACCCCTAGAGGATTTTAATTAAATATCAAATACATATAGCATGTTTTACAGATAGAACAATAATTGAATGAAAAACTGAGTTAATATTTTGCAGTTTTCACAACATGTCTTTTTAGACAACCATATTTAAATCCATATGACAACCTTGCCTTTCTTAAAATTTCCATTAATAAAAAATAAAGTTCATATTGATATGAAAATGTTTGTATCAATGCCTGGACCTTGCCAGAAAATTGAAAATAGAAATGACTGAAATATAATTAATTAGAATGAATCTCCAGTTTTCCCCAACCTTGACTCTAACAATGAATGAGAGGGAAACTGTATACCGGCAGGAAGGTGATAATGAGCTGATGGCTAATGGCAGAAGTGAATGTAAGTAAAAAACACTTTGGGAAAGTTTAGTAATTATAAGTAACATTTGTAAAGATCTTTATTTTTTTGGTATTTGCATAACTTCTTGACTTGGAATCACCTAAATTTTTAGAGTAAACATAATCTGCCAGGATTATGGAAGGGTATACTGGGTCACCTATATAGAACAATGATTCTTGAATTTTAGTGTCTATACAAGGACCACCTGAAAATTTGTTAATAATGTAGAATCTTGTTACATATACTCTTCCCTTCCTAAGATACAGTTAGTCTGGGGTGGGGATGTGCTAAAAAATCATCCCAGGTAACTGAGGTGGTTCATGAGCCACAAATAAAAAAACACTCATGTAGCATGTAAAAAATGTGAGGATATTTGAGAAAGATTAATAGAGTGAACAGAAGTCTGATAATCAGGGGATTTAAATAATGTTTTTAGTGCACTAAAGTTTAATTTAAAGTTACGCAGCACTGGGGTACCTGAGTGCCTCAGTTCATTTAGCATCAGCCTTTGGCTCAGGGTCCTGGGATGGAGCCTGGTGTAGGGCTCCCCACTCAGTGGGGAGTCTGCTTGTCTTTCTCCCCTCCCCAAGCTCATTCTTCCTTTCTCTTTCAAATAAATAAATAAAATCTTAAAAAAAATAAAGTTATGCAGCATGATTGTGATTATTAGGAATCCACAATGGCCATATGAAAATAATTTATTTGAATGTTCCTTTCAGAGCGTTTCCTTCAAACAGAAGCTTGTAAAAGTCTGAACTGCAAAAGCATAAACTGGCTCGAAGAGAAGTAGAAACAAAAGATGAGTCTTTACTTGTGCATATGTACTATACAACATATTGATGGTTCATTTTGTTTGTTACAGCCATCTTCACAATCATCTATCACAAAAGACACTTATTGTGTGATCATTATTGTATACATAAACCCTTTATAAGAATTCACACTTGGAGAATTTTTTTAGTTATGTTCATCTAATCATCTAGATGGCACTTTTGTTTTGTTTTGTTTTGTTTTGTTTTTTATTTTATTCTTATGTTAATCCCCATACATTACATCATTAGTTTTAGATGAAGTGTTCCGTGATTCATTGTTTGTGCACAACACCCAGTGCTCCATGCAGAATGTGCCCTCCTCAATACCCACCACCAGGCTAACCCATCCTCCCATCCCCCTCCCCTCTAGAACCCTCAGTTTGTTTTTCAGAGTCTATCGTCTCTCATGGTTCGTCTACCCCTCCGATTTCCCCCGCTTCATTCTTCCCCTCCCGCTACCTTCTTCTTCTTCTTCTTTTTTTTTTTTTTTTAACATATATTGCATTATTTGTTTCAGAGGTACAGATCTGAGATTCAACAGTCTTGCACAATTCACAGTGCTTACCAGAGCACACACCCTCCCCAGTGTAGATGGCACTTTTGCAAAAAGCATATCAGAATTTAGGAATATACTGTCACATATATATGTATATATGTTATATGCATATATATATGTGACAGTACATTCCTGACTATATATGTGTGTGTATGTATATATACACATTTACACATACATACCGAGATAGGCACACACATAATATATATGATGTTAAAGCTAAATATTTCAGAGAATGAGTGATTACAAACTATGAGATTTAGAATGTATAACAGTAGCAATAACATTGAGTAGCTCAAAAAACAATAAAGATAGATTTCTTTTTACTATATCACCTATTTTGACATTGAGCTTTCCTAGGTTAATAGTGAGAGTTGGAGGGGTGCCTGGGTGGCTCAGTCGTTAAGTGTCTGCCTTCAGCTCGGGTCATGATCCCAGCATCCTGGGATCGAGCCCCGCAGCGGGCTTCCTGCTCAGCAGGAAGCCTGCTTCTCCCTCTCCTACTCCCCCTGCTTGTGTTCCCTCTCTTGCTATCTCTCTCTCTGTCAAATAAATAAATAAAATCTTTAAAAAAAAAATAGTGAGAGTTGGAGTGGAGAGGAAGAGAGAGTAAAATAAAAACAACGTTACTTTTGAATGTGAAGAAATATAACAGAGGCCAGAAGGTAGCTAGGAAATGGAGAAATGAGTGGTAAGAGAATAATTTGGTGCAAGAAGGTGAAAACACAAGAGGCAATATGTGGTAATCATGAGACAAGAGAATCCATTCCAGGCTTATAATATAAAAGAAAAGGCAGACTAGGAAGCTACCGGCTCACTTTCTTTCACTGAATTAACAACCATATATGGACCAGAATATCTCTGTAAGAACTCTAGAGACCAGCTGAGAAACTGCAGCACCCAGGCCATTGTAAAACCAAGAAAACATTCCACCAAAAGGGGTAGGATAATTCCCAGCATTTGGTACACTCGTTAGTGCCCTTACCCCTACACAGCATATTGTGGAGACATCAGGAGGAAACCCCATGTAACTTCCTTCAAGATGGAAAAAAAAAAAAAAAAGAGTGGACCATGCACCCAACATTCTGGATTGTCTGAGGGCCACTCAGGGAACTGGTCTCTGTCTTGCCTGACTCAGAGTTCTTAGGGGACCAACTCAAGATAAACTACTGAAAACTGAGGTGAGCAGCAAGCAGAGCTACAGGATTGCAGGCAGACATGGGAGGAAAGGAAATGAAGAAAATTATTCCATTCACAGTAGCATCAAAAATAATAAAATACTTAGAAATAAACCCAATTAAGGAAATGAAAGACTTGTACATTGAAATCTATAAAACATTACTGAAAGAAATGAAATAATACATAAATAAATGGAAAGGTAGCCCATGTTCATGGATTGGAAGACTTAATATTGTTAAAATGTGCATACTGAATAGAATAATCTCTAGATTAAATGCAATTCCTATCAAAATCCCAATGACATTTTTTTTTTTCAGAAAGAGAAAGAAAAATGAGGTGCCTGGGTGGCTCAGTCAGTTAAGTGTCCAATTCTTGATTTCAGCTCAGATCATGATTTCAGGGTCATGGGACTGAGCCCCATGTTGGGCTCTATGCTGGACTTAGAGCCTGCTTGGGATTCTTTTTCTCTCCCTTTGCCCCTACCCACAAAAAAAAAAAAAAAAAAAAAAAAAAGAAGAAGAAGAAAGAAAGAAAGAAATAGAAAGAAATCATCCCAAATTTCATATAGAATCTCTAGAACCTCAAAGAGACAAAACAATTATGAAAAAGAAGAACAAAGTTGGAGAACTCATACTTTCTGATTGTAAAACATATCACAAAGCTATAGTAATCAAAAGAGTGTGGTACTGGTGTGAAGACAGACAAATGAATCAATAAAATA